GAACTGCTCATTGGGGGACTTCTTTGGCTCCGCCCACACGACCCAGCCAATCGGCCTCAAGAGCAGGAGGATTGTGGGAGGTGGTGAGGTTTGTGTGGGTGAGAGGCTTGTGGAAGCCGGTGGTGGCAGTTGGGCTCTGAGGGTTTTTTTTTCCTGAGGAGCTGTTTTGCTTGGCGTTTGTAGTTCTAAAAATAAAGTTAGTTTCTTTTGACAAGTGGCTCCTGAATTGTGCCCAGCCAGACTGCAGCATGTAATACCATCTTTCAATGTGATCCAAAGTCATATTGTTATAACTTATTTCATAGGTCACCCAAAMAAATGTCCCCCTGGAATCCATCAGGTAATATTGTGAGAAAAGCAGGCCCCAAGTGATGTATSAAACACAGAGGGACAGCTGTTGCCTCTATAAAGGATCAGGATCATTTCTTACTGTGTTCTGTAAACACAGGGTGCTCTTGCAACACCCTCTTCTCCCTCTTCTCATGCATTTCTGCATGCTTCTAAACCCTTATGTATTTATGAATTTATTTACTTTTCTCCCATAGAATCATATTCATGGAAAACAAGGGAAAAAATCTATATTTCTCTCTCTCTCTCTCTCTCTCTCTCTCTATATATATATATATATATATATATATATATTTATATATAAACTGTGAAGACATCTGTATGACAAAGCATTTAGTTATAGTCTCTGGACAAAATATGGAGAGTTGGGAAATTATGGGCATAATTATAATCATATGGAGATGCTATGCTAGGTAAATGTGGCAGCCACCACCCAGTTCTAGCAAATGCTGGTGGGTGGAAATGAAAGCCCTGTGTTACCAGATCTTTCTACTTGATAAGAAGAATRCAATATGTAGATTTTCATGTAAAATACTGTTTATGATACTTCGGGTCAGTTTTTAAAAWTTCCACTCTAAAGACAAAAGCAAAAATTCTTGAGAGTCAAAGAGGAACTCTGTCATCTCTCAGATATTGTTGATTCATTTTTCTAATATATTKCAACAGCTACAAAATTACCAACTCGATTTAATTGTAGCTGTTCGAATGAATTCCAATAAACTTTTTTGTTTGTCTTGTTTTTTATTAAGATGATGGGTTTGGGTTCCTTTCAGCTGTGTTGTTCCTAAGCCCCCATTTCCAAGCACAGGCCTATTCATGTCACATGCTGAAGAGGACAGACTCTGAAGAGAGGCCAGGCCGAAGGTCCTATCAGGGCTCTTTGCCCCACGTTCTAGCAGGAACATGCTGGAAAACTCTCCAAAGTTACCCAAAGCCATGCGACCTAGAGACTTCCCAGGAACAACTCCCGAGTGCCCCTATTGGACCGCAGTGACTTGCGCAGGGAAACAAAAGCTTTTTGTTGCAAGGGTCGCTATTGACACAATCCATTCGACYTCTAGACAAGGCCAAGGGTGGGTGGGAGAAGAGAAACTTCTCGCGAGAAGTCCAACAGGCACTTTAAAGAAGCCAAGAACTCGCGAGAAGTCGGACAAGGCGCGTCACTGCCCTGGCAGGTCCTTCTCCTGACTGAGGAACCCAGGGGGGTAGCTGCCACGTGTAGGGCAGTGCTGGCAATGACCTTGGAGGGCACATCCTCTACTGTCATGGAATTTCCCCTGGGCGGACAGAGAGACATTAAATATTTAGTTAAACCATTAATTTGTGTTTTTAAAAAATGGTCAGAAGCACCAAAGACAAGTACAGGATGAAATGGAGACAAGTAAGCGAGGTCCCTGACCTGTTTGGGGAGGACAAAGATGACCTTGAGCTGAGCGTGAAAAGGTGCTGGGCAAGAGGAGACCCCCGTGGGATGACGACCCCTCCCCTGAGGCAGAACCGCGCAGCCTGTGTGAATATTGGAGCGGCTGCCTGCGTGCGCAGCCCTGAAGAAGGGACTCACCTTTGCCCCCCAGGGAGGAAGGTGAGAGGACAGGGGACAGGTTGGAAGGGAAGCTCTTTCCGTTTTGGTTTTCTAGAGTCAACGTTTAATAATGAGAACATTGTCACATTTTGCTTGGTTTAAAGATAAAAGGAAGAGCATGTGCCACTGTTTGTCCTTAGGGGTGAGCTGTTACTAGAGCCCACAACWGTGAGTGGATGCTTCAGATGACAGATTTTCTGTATTTTTTTTTCCTTATTTTGGTGCATTAGAGTTGTAGGTAATAGCTGGGTTCATTTTGACATAACCACACATGCATGGGATTTAAGTTACTCCATTTCAGTACCCAGCACAACTCCGCATTTCTGTCTCCTCTTCCTTCTCCCTACTCTCCATCCCCTATTCTACTGGTCTTCTTCCACTCATTTATTTATTGATTTTTAATTGATGATTTATAGATATACCTAAAGGTGGAATTTACTGTAGTAAATTTATACATGCACGATTTTGTCCAATGCATCCCACATTTCCTGCTATTTTTTATGACATCCATCATTAGTAGAAGCCAGCAAGCATTTCACAACAATTTTCTCTTAAATATATTGCTTACTGAATTCTTTTCATTAATATTAACTAATTATTAATTTTGGTTCAGGCTTGGAAACGTGCTCTCTATTCTCAGTTCCTGCCTACCACAAACAGACCCCCATTCCTGGCCATCTCATTTATCATCCACACTCTTCCTGAGCATGGGCTCCTCTGTAAAGCCTGCTTTCGGACCAAAGATGTGAAGGATCTTCCTTCCTACTGCATCACCTGACTTCCTCCCTATTTGTAACCCTGGGACTCACATTCAGAAAACTCATCAATATGCTTCTCTGTTCACAGCATGCCCCATGCACAGTCTCTCCGAGGCTGAAGCTCCACACAAGCCCAACATCTGAACCATGGCACCCACGTTCCTTTCACTGTGTCCTTGCTCTGTGTTTCCATCACTATCTGTCCCTTTCCATTTTCAAATCATCCTGACACGGAGGCTGACTTGCCTTCTAATTCTGGATTGCAACCTCAAGGTATCAATTCAAAAGCATTGAGTAGATTTTGGGTCCCCTGTGACTCTGATTTGGTACTTGAAGTAGCTCTGATAGTTTATTTCTATCACAAACCTGTGATCTTCTGCATGTTTCTTCTTTTGGATAAAACAAGGGACYGGGAACCAGAAGATCTAGCTAGTCTGGCCTTCTTCATTTGATGGAGGTATAACTTCAAGAGACTTGCCTCGGTCCCCTGAATACTCACTTTCTTCTTTGGAAATGAGATCTGCATGCCACTCTTTCTGCATCACAGGGTTGTAGTGAACCCCCTTGTTAGTCACTTCCTTCTTCATTCTCTTGGTCTTTGTTTAAACATTACTAGATGAAAACAGAGGTTTCCAAACTATACAGTCCCATAATGTCTAGTGTTACATTTTTCAAAAACTGCATTGCTCTTGTAATTGCCAGTCCAACATGCTTTTTTCCACCCACCCTCAAGCACACTATAAGCTCCATGAGGGTAGGGATAGTGCTTGTCTGGTTCAGGTCTGTCTTGGTGTCTAGYGCATCCAGGGATTCAGTAAATACTAGAGGATGGATTAATGAAGGATGTTAGTGAAAGTGCTTTYTAAGAAAGCAGCTACTGCTATCATTGTTATTATTGTTATGAGTATTAGTAGGAATAGTAGTGGATGTAATTGCAGTAGTTGTATATTAGCAATGTTGTCACCATCAAATACAGGACAAAAGGATATCACAAAATAGTGACAATATATCAATATATATGTACAATCATTACCCTTTCTACCTTCATCCTTTTAACCTATAGAAAATAGTAACCAACAGCAAAATGGGAAGGTAAGGTACAGAATAGGAGACAATATTTGCAAATCTTGGGCTGCAAAGGGAATAAAATCCAAAATATCTAAGGAACTCATGCAACGAAAGASCAAAAATACAGATAACCTGCTTTTAAAATGAGTAAAGAACCTCTGTAGACATTTATCCAAAGAAGACATATGAACWGCCAATAGGTATACGAATAGGTGCTGACCGTTACTACTGCCAGGGAATGCAGATTAAAACCAAATGACACAGCATCTCATGCTTGTTAGAATGATGATTGTCAAAAATTACAAAAGATATATGTTGGTGACAAKGTGGATAAAAGGGGATACTTGTACACTACTGGTGGGAACAAGAATTGATACAGACATTGCAGAAAACATGGAGAAGATTCCACAGAATATTAAAAATGGAACTGCCGCCTGATTCTGTCATCCCACCACAGCATTTCTATCTAAAGGGAATGAAASCCATATATCAGAAATACTGGTACTCCCCTGTTTACAGCAGCAGTATTCACAATAGCCAAGATACAGAATGGAATATTACTCAGTCACACACAAAAAAATGAAATCCTGTCATTTATGGTAACGTGGATGGAACTGCAGGACATAATGTTAAGTGAAATAAGTAAGGCAYRGAAGAATAGTAGCAYATTATTTCTTTCATATGTGAAAGCTAAAAAAATGTAGACTGCATAGAAGTAAAGAGTAGAATAGTGTTCATTAGAGGGTAGGAAGGATAGTAGTAAAGAGGTATAAATGGTGGTTGTATCATGAGTTGCAAATATATAATTAGATAGCAGAAAAGAATTTCTAGCATTCTAGAATGCAGTAGGTGACTCTAATTTACAATGATTTATTATGTATTTCATAAAGGATAAAAAGATGTGGTATATACACCACATGGAATATCATTCAGCCATGGAAAAGAAGTAAATTTTGTCATTTTCAACAGTGTGGATGAACCTAGAGGACACTGTGCTAAKTGAAATGAGCCACAGGATGACCAATACTAAAGGAGCTTACTTACAGGTGGAATCTAAGAAAGTCAAACTCACAAMTGCCTCCTGTGTATCTAGAAGATGTCACGTCCTGGGAATACAGGGTGGAGTGAAGCACTGTCCCCCACTACTAGGCCATAAATCTGGGCAAATATAGAGCTTGGATTTCTTTGTATAAAAAGTCAAACATCTTCACTGAGTGATTTTTTTTARTGGCATTGTACTGTACCTGAAGGCAGGCTGGGGCACGTCCCTGGGGCTTGTTGACATCCACAGCTACCAGCTGCCAACCACCAGCAGCATCTTCGTGGAACATCTTCAAGACAAAGAGGGAGGTGAGTCAGAGACACTTAACATGGAACACTAAGAACTCTGTCTCCCACTTTCTGCACAGTTTATGTCATCGGAAATGTGTGTTCTTATAGGTTTATATTTAGAAAATGATTCACTTCAATTATGTTCATTTTAAAGCTGAAGACTTAGGTGAATAATGATAATAACAAGAGCAAGATAATCACTTCCTTTTATGGAGCATGTGTTACTTTTCAGGCCATTTCTACCTCACCTAGGCATTGTGTCTAATTGCTCAAATACTATTCTTCRCCTGAGAAATGCTTTGATAAATATTTTTATCCCCATTCTATTGATGACTATTCATTAGATCTTGAGGAAAATGCAAGCTAGAATTCTAARGCATGATGTGTAATGTCATGCTTTTTACCATTGGTGGTAGATTTTTATCTTTAGTGGACACTTCTTACTGGGATAATTAAAGATATTCTCATGGTAGATCATATCAGAAGCATGCATGTAGCATAGGGAAAGAGACTGGGGTCATTTTAATGGTAGCAAACTAGCATGTCATTTGGTTGACTTTGTGCAAATATTTTAACTAAGCCATAACTAATTTGCTCAATAGAAACTTCAGGTGCATATTTATGAAGGGCATACATAWTGTCTTTGGCTTAGAAGATGTAAGTGATTGAAATTCTGGCTACTCATACCTACTAAATTCTGAAATTCACTCACTTGACTGAATATCTTACTGCATATTCCACTATCTCAACCTTTACTTATCCATCAATATTACACCCAGCTGGGAGACATTCCTCACTTGTAAATATTTTCCCACTGACAAACTGTATCCCCAGTTCCCTAGGCCTGTGTGGCAGGAGGAGTGCTGGTAACAGGACAGGGTGTAATTGCAAAGTTTTGTTTTCCTAAAAGAAACTTAACTCTAAACATTCACTGTTTCATTCCTGCCTGAGGTCACTGTTTGGTACACATACAGTTTCCTTTGCCACCCTTATTTATGTCTTCCTGTTAGTCTGACCTTGTGTTGAAAGGGTAATTGTTGATGGAAATCTGTATGAGATGATGCAAGGGACATTACCTAAGATTTATCATCATAATTTCAAACTCCTAGCAGCAGGAATCGCAGATCATTTGCAGAAACTATACTCATCCTCTGTATAAGAAGTGAAGCCCAAATTCACAGGCTGAACATGTAGTTTTTAAAGGACAAAATCAAGGTCCATTTTTACACAYAGCCTCTTTGACTAGAGATGCCACTGCAGATTGTTTATCTCCGCTGTCCATTTACAGTGCTCACTTTCCCTTTTAGATGCATTTTTTTTATTTTCTTTTTTTTTAATTGGTTGTTCAAAACCTTACAAAGCTCTTGACATATTATATTTCAAACATTAGTTTCAAGTGAGTTATGAACTCCCATTTTTACCCCAAATACAGATTTTCTTTGATATAATGAGAGCAACTAAGAATAGATGCATTTTAAAAGCTGTTCTTGGCGGTAGAATCAAGCACATCCTTCCTGAGTAGGCTCCTTCTGAGAATACTACATGGGTGGAAAGCCAACCTGTCAAGATGCCTTTTAAAGTTCCTGTSGGAATCCTGGGATTCTCCTTTTAAGGACCAAAGACAAAGCCCACTTGTCAGTCACTGGCTAAGAGCCCTCTGTTTGGAGGACACATTCCATACTGTCTTATCACACTACAAAGCCTCCCTGGGGCTTATATTTGCTTTGATCAGTCAAAGACTAATTTTCTTTGTTAAATTATTTTTCCAGCAGACCAAAATCAAATGAGTCAATTTAATTGTTAGTACAAGAGTTCTGTCAAGGTCATTCCTTTGTATGAAATAAAAAGTAAAAAAAAAAAAWAATGAAAACATGTTCAATTTCTCTCTAGTCCCTCAATTATAAAGTAACATGTAGTAACAACAGAAGATTTTTGAGAGAACTTGGGTTAGTTAGCAGAAGCCAGGAATTCTTAGAGACTCCAGTCCTTAGCGRGAACGTGGTGAGAGCTACCAACTGTCCCTCTCTGTTATCCCTGTTTTCCAATGTCAKAATTTTCATGGGTACACTAAGCCTCTAGGAGGAAAAAAAAAAGATTATTTCTTGTCTATTTTTGGAAGTTGATCTTGACCATTTAACAACATATTGGCCTATAAGCATTAAGCAGAAACCTTCTTTTTCTCTTATATTTCTCATTCTTGCTCTCTGGAATATATATGTCAAGGTTAGAGCTACAACAGCCATTTTAATCTATGAGGTAAATTTGGGAATGGAGGCTTGCCATATGCCACATGACTACAAACACACAATCCTTTTCCTTTTGTATTAATTTGCTTTCAGCAGACCTTCATGTCAATAAACTTCAATCATTTTAATATCATAATTTATTTCAATATCATAATTTATAATTGACAACTTTATTGTTAGACATTCAGAATCTTTTCATTTACCAAAATGCCTCCATAAACAACCTTAAATATAAATCTTGGACTTTGTACAAAATTCTTCATAGGACAAATTCCTAGAAGTGAAATGTCTTGGTCAAATCATATATACATCCTTAAGGCTTCTGATACATATTGCCCAACAGTTTCCTAGAAAAGAYGTTCCAATGCACATTCTCACTGACTATGCATGAGAATGTCCCTCTGAGCCAACAGTTAGGAGAAGTTAGCTTGGGGCCAGAATGAAGACAGCATGTTGACACTAGGGCTTCCAATGGCTAAATTAAAAGGAGGTCAGATCTTGTAGTGAGTCAAATGAAGGCTCTGAGAGCTCAGTAGCCTGGCTGAAGTCCCAGGTCTACCAGTCGCCCATTATGTAATGTTGGGCAAACTAATTAACTTTCTAATCCCTGTCACTTTTTAATCTGCAAAGTGGTAACAATAGCAGAATGCACTTTACAATGTTATTGTGAAGATTAAATACCTTGGTCTGTAAAGTCATTGCACCGTGCCTGGAGCTGCCCTCAGTATCTATTAGTGCTTGTAATACGACAGTGTGACTTGGTGGAATGGCACCAATCATTACAGATATGGATTTCCATGGCCCTTTCCCTTTCGTATAATCATGTGGAAACCAGGAAGACGTCAGCCTGGACAATTCTCACAGGGGTGTCCTTTTGCCTCTGTTAGAGTTTTATAGTGCGTCACTTGATTTACAAAGTAAGAATGCTTCTGGAATTGTTTTCTCAGGCAAAGTAAGAATGCTTCTGGAATTGTTTTTACAGGCAAAATATCATCATTACTCTCATCTTATTGTGAGAGAAGGAACCCTGGTGGCCCAGGGAACAGCTAGGAACTGAATTAAAATCCCAAACCTAAGACGCCGCCCACTCATGGGCAGAGCATTGTGGAGAAAGTCTACAATGCATTTTGAAATTTTATGCTGCTTGGATTCTTTCAAAATCAATCATTTTTAAAAACAGGTAATCGTCACCAAAACACAAATAATGACAGGGGATACCTGGCTTGATTTCTTTATTCAATAATAAATCCTGCAACAGCCTCCTTAAATCTGATCTCCACATGACTTCCCGTAATGGTGCAGGGGTCCATCCCTGTGGCCTCTTACTGGACAGAACTCCTGGTTGCCAGGAGAGCCCTTCCCTGACTACACTTAGTGTATTGCTTTCTCATATTTTAAGGATGTACATTCACGTGGAAACCTATGGTCTTGTACTACAGTAAACACATTTTTCTAATGTACCATCTTTGAGCATCAAGTTATGCACAGTGTTTTTTGGGGAGGTGAGAATTCTTTCCATGTTTGATCATGCATCTTTTCATTTATGTTTTCTGCCTTTTTACTGAGCATTGCACTGCAAAATTGCTATGGGCATGTTCTAAGACTGTTGATGGGATTCCAAAGGAAGAAAAACTTAGAAGTGCCCTTTAATTCTGTACCAACCCTATTCTTATCCATCTTCTAGCTTAATTAGGGATTATCAATTCAAAAAACTTGTGTCAGTGAGAGTGTTCAGAGATTATAACAGACCCAGAAGTTATTACTCTCTTTATAGAAGCAGAATGTTTATTTACCAAGCCCCAAAAGAATCCCCATTGGACCTAACATTTGCAAATGTAAGRTGTGTGCTGGCTGCCTGAAGACTGCTTGAGTCCCTGTCACTACCTATAACAGAAAAAGCAGTCTGGGGTGGCACTAAGGCTTAGCAGCTCTTTTGCTGCTGTTCTGGAACAATTGGGATAGACTCCTCTTTATCATGAGCCAGTGTGGGTCAGAGGACATTGGGATAAAGGTCTGCATTAAAGAGATGCTTCGCCCAAGACTTCTTCCACCTCAACACTGGGTAGGAGTAGCTCTGTGTGGACTATCACGAGTCCCCGGAGTCTGTCCATCACTGGGCACATGGCCACAGTCACCCATGGCTAAGAACTATCCAGGTATGAAACTCACAAGCCCCCTCACATTCAGGCTGACTCAGGATTACCTATCTGATCATTTCTACACCATTTCCTTCTTCCTTGACACTTACTATGTTACCGTCTCCATAAGTCCTTCGGCATTACTTTTCTCTAGTTGGTCTATGCTATGACTTAAGAGTATTTGGTGGCAGTCATTCAATTGAAAGATGTTACTTTGCTATTTTAGAGAAAAATCCTCTTCATTGATTCCCTTTTGCCTCTAAATGGTCCATATCAGAGCCAGCTGCTTAAGATGTCAGGACACCATGGTTTTGTCCTATGACTGTGTGTGTGTGTGTGTGTGTATGTATGTGTGTGTGTGTGTGTGTTTCTACACACACGGATGGCTGTCATGGGAAGCCTACATTGTTTGAAACATTAACAAGTCCATCATGCCCAGGACCCCTTTAGACCTTCATATGGAATTACTGCAAATTCTCACATACTAGGGAAAGGCAAGAATAGATTTCAAGTCTGAAAAGTGACATGCTTTACAATGCCATCTTTTATTTTATTTCCTTAGACTATCCTGTTAGAATCAGAAATGTGTGATTTAGTGTTTTAAACCACTTTCAACGTACTCCTCAACAGTGTTTGGCCAGATTTTACAAATATAAGAGAATCACAGAAAATGCTGCCTCTCCTCCATACACAGAAAAGCACCTGGGGCCTCTGGCAAAGGGGATTGAGGGTGGGCGGGGCCTGAGGCTGTTGCTAGGCTGCCCAAGTGGTCTTCCACCAGAGGATGCTGGCAGGAGTTTAGTCGCTTAGCAACCTGGTCCTCAGTCACAGCRCTTTTCTTAATGAAGGTTTTTCACAGTTCTCTGTGTGATTACCTCTAGTCGCATTTCCTCCGAATTACAGACTTAGGCCTCCTGATTAAGTACAATTTGGCATYGAAATAATTCTGTACAACTTTGTTCAAAGTCTTCACATTTCATTTTCTACTATACCATGGGCTGATTTGGAGGCACCTCTAAACATTACTATTCCAGCTGTGATTTTACCCATCAGAGTTACCTGATCAACATAATATGGAGTAAAGACATTTTAGGCCATACTCCAGGGGCTCTGCATGCACCTCAAGTACTGAGTTCACAGTGCCATGTGCCATTAGGTGTCAATGCCTGGGACAGGAGGCATGCCCTTGGAGAGGTTATCACCTCAGAGAGGTCTTGGAAATTTATTACACCTCACAGTTTGCAAAGAGAGGAGAGATGGATGTGGTTGATTCCCTGAAGGCTTTCCTTTGTGGGAAACCCAGACAGCATTTGAAAAAAATCTTTCAAGGAAATTTGCAGTTTTGCGTTTTGTTTTTGCTGAAATTGAATAATGTCACCACTGTCGTTGTCTGTGACGAATGCTCAGAACAATCTAGACTCTACAGCATCGTAAAGATGCTATAGCATTATAAGGTTTTTCCTACGTGTTTATATGTTGAATAGCATCTAAACACATAATTCTAACTATGAGTTTGATCTGAAAGTTTTCCAAGTAAAATTTGTACCTTGAATCTTTCATATACTTTGTCCTAAATAGGTTAGTAAAAGTGAGTAGAATTATAATAATTTTTTAAAACTTTAATATTAAAATAACACTTAAAGGGATTATATCATTTTATTCTTGATTCTGGAACTTTTATTTTCTCTCTGTGCTATGAAGATTCATAAGACATAAACCTGCCCTTCCTCTTTCTAACCACCACCAAAACAAGCACACAAAATGAAAACACAAATAATGACAAAAATTTTGCTGAACTGCCCTCTTATGTAATTTACTGCTCTGCTGCATTAATTGGAAATGGTAGGCCATCTCCAACTCCTCAGGGTGCTTATGTAAATCCTTCCAAATATATAGTGACTCCACAAAAATCACAGGCATGCCCTGGTGGTGAGGGATCTTTTCCATTCTCTATTGCACTATGATTGGTTTGTTTTGAATGAAATATATTTTCCACTCCCAAACTTCTAATCCTGTACATAAGGGCCATTATCTAGGCTTGCAATTACATGAATAAAAATAGGAAATTCCATAGTTGCTATATTGGATCTACAAGCCCTATGAAGACTTGTGATGTCAGAACCAAATCAAAGGTCCAAAATAAATGTGGTTGGCAATCTGGGTTTTGTATCTAAATCACCCAAGGAGCTACTAAAAATATATAAGCATCATCATAACATCCCTGAGAAAGTCAGACTCGATTGTTGGGTTTGGGTCCTGCACCTGTGTTTTCGAACAGCTTCCTAACTGTGCCTGATTGTTCAAGCCCATCACACCTTGCTCTTGTTCCACTGATGAGGACGGGCTCTGCCCCTGTCTCAGTGGGTAGTGACTTCCTCGTGCTGATCCCATACCTGTGTGGTGGCTGTGGAGGTCGTGCTGCTTCTTGATCCCCACATTTGCTGAAACTGAACTCTGATTTCTGCAAATGTTTCAATGATGACGGCGATAAAGACATTCTGCAAGAAAATGACAAGCCATGTTTACCCAACACTGGGAATGAGGGGGCAGCTGCCCACCAAACGCAGAAGGCTTACAGAACCTGCCCAACGCGGGGACTTTATTAGTACGATTTGTTCCAGTACCTTAACAAGCCAGGCAAGGAAGAAAATCAGGGTGATGAAATAGAAGTAGGAACGCCAGCGGGGGAAGCTGTCGATGGCTCTGTACATGAGGAACACCCAGCCCTCCTGAGAGGCAGCCTCATAGACCGTGAAGATGCTGGTGCCTGTCAGGAGACAGAAGAGCACATCGAGGTACCATTGACTTTTGAAATAGAAAAACGTTTTCAGAGAAACAATCAATATTTATCCATGCTCATTTCTCAGTGACAGAAGCTTTTCCACACAGATTAAAACTGCATGTGACATTTCATCGTTCCCTTGCTTAGAATTCTGCTAAAGTTGTTTCTGACATCAAGCCAGAGGAATTCCGATGTCTTCAGTGAGAAAAATAATTTTGTATTATGTCTCTAGCTGTTAAATGCATCTAATAAAAGGGAAAAGGAAACAAATATTCCAACCAAGTATAGATAAGAACAACAACAACAAAATGTGCAGCATTGAAGCCTTCCACTTGAGTTTAGCACTTTCAGTGTGTTGAAAATCACCCACCAAAGTTTTAACCAAAATGAAATAAATCTGAGAATTGGGTTGCATTTGAAATCACTTTGTCATGGGAGACTAAAGTATCTCAGGATGCTGATAGTACTCTGAAGGAACTCGTGTTCAGATTCCATGATGTTTACTGAACACCAAAAGGTAAATCATCAAAAGTGTCTCATACTTGAGGGGACAATTGTCTCACTGAAAATATTCCTGATAATGCAAAGAAATTTTAAAATGCATAGATAGATTTTTGGATATTGTTTAAGAGAACATAAAACACCATTTAGGGAAAAAAAAACGTGTTTTTTCCTCACAACACCATGAGATATTTTATAAGTAGACAAACAAAAGCTTGTAAAGACTAAGGAACTTGTTCAAGGTTGTACAGACAATGAATGACTAGGGAAGTAGAACTAGCCCAGTCTTTCTGGAACAAGGTTCTACACATCTCAACAAGATACAGACTGCCTCACATCCTTTGTGCACATAACTTCTAGTCTGTGAGGAATAAATTACTGAATTTGTGCAAGGTTTTGGTATAAGGTGAGTGCTTAAGGCATTTCAGATATCATTACTTTTATTATTATAAAAGAGGAAATTTGTGTTTACCATGTAAGTAAAATATATTACCTACTTAAGGTTGGTTATAAGACTAATAATATATGTTATTCATAAAACTGGCAAGCATATGACATTGATAAATTCTACTGAAACAAATGAGTTAAGTTATTATAGAAGATAAGCCAGTGCCCACCCATGCACATTCTGATCCCATGGAAACGCACAACCAGAATGTGCACTAGAGCAAATGTCCAAACCAAGGAGGGGGTTACTATGGCTCAGTGGACATCCCTGTTTCTGAGCCTGTGCACACATTAGCATGAGCATGGAGGAAAATCCAATCATGTGGAGCACAGCAAAGTTGCTATGAAAGCAGACAGTGAGAAAGCAGGAGGCTTGGAAGAAAAGATAAGGGAAAGAAGGAAAGCACGGCCCTATTTGGTGACTGCCTAATATGTATTAATGTGTGTTAAGATGCTCTTTACAGAACATCCTATAGCAACTGCCTCTCTGTTTTTCCTTTGTGTTCTTTACATATTTTTATTTTTCATTGACACACAGTACTTATACATATGTATGGGGTACAGTGTGACATTTCAATATATTCAAGCAATGTGTAAGATTCAGATCAGGGCAACAGACACATCCATCACCGCAGAGTTATTAGTTTTTGTGTTATTTTGTGAAATATTCAAAATCCTCTCTATTAGTTACTTTGAAATATACAATTAATTGTTGTCAACTGTACACATCCTACTGTGCCGAAGCAACCYGTCCTCTCTCTGTGCACCTTCCTCCACGTCTTCCCAGGCTTGGTAAACACTGTTCTGCTTTCTACTCCCATGAGACCAACCTCTCAGCTTCCACACCTAAGTGAGAACACGAGTTCTATCGACTCTCACTTCAAGAATCCCATTTTGAATATTGGTGAATCACTGCCCTAACAACTGGCATTTGACAGCTTACATTTGTATCCTAAGAAAAATCTCTATCTCATCAGGTAGGAGGCAGGTGCAGATGAGGGCACATATTACCCATCACGTTCTACAGAAATGCAAAGTGAAAGTCCCTGGTTCATGAAGGTGCACAGGCTAGAAAGTGGTAGGACCCGTAACTGAACCCACTCATCTGGTTACCTATTTAAACATTTTTTTWATCATGCTCTTTGTACTTTATCTTGCTTGAGACTGCACCTTTAAGAAGAGATCATTTTCTCTGGTTATTAATCTGAATGAATGAATATGGCCAAGTTTAGAGCACATCAATACACTCTTGAAAGAAAGATGACTTTTCAAAGTTTGGGAGAGAAGGACAGACAAGAAAGAAGATGCCAACAGCAAACAKAAAAGAAACTGTTTCCATGAATGATCATGTGTACCAACAGTGAGCACCCCTTGCTTCTGTGGGCTGAATATAAAGGACCATTTTAACATAAAACAAATAATTGCTGTCCCTTATTTCCTTCGAGTTCTTGAATGAAAACAGAAAAGTGGCMGCTGAAATCCATTATGAACCACCATTAAAGTTTAATAGCTTTGCCAATTGACCATTTTCTGGTGAATTATAGGAATTGTTAATATAAGTGTAAACCTGAGAACAGCATTGGAAGTTATTCTCCTCTTCCCTYCCCAGATTTCTCCTTATTACACCTACAGGGAAGATGTTATTTGAAATTATGGAAAAAACAGTATGTGCAATGTGTGATTGTCAAGATTTAACTCCATTGTCCATTTTTGGACAAAAAAGAAAAAAAGGGGGTTGGGGGAGAAGTAGAAATCCACAGTGCAGTGGGATGAGCAGAGTGTGTTGGCAGAAAGAGACACGGCATTTGTGGGAATATGGCCAGGACACTGTGCCGGAAAATGGTGACTTCTGAAGGAAACATTTCCTGGCCTCATGAACTGCACCAGGTAACAAGCAGGCCTTGAGGATGGACAGAGGAAACTGAGCCAGAGGGACTGTCCATATCAGTTTTCTGCTCCTGGCTTTGCAAAACATAGAAAAAGAAAATCACTTCTGAAAGGATTTTCCAGTGGTTGACCAGTGTTTAAATGGACAAAAATCAGATGCATTATCCTCTCATTTTCTGTGGCAAGGGGCCAACCCTGAGAAAGAAGCTAGCTGTTGACTGTGCCGGGCACATCCTGCCCTCTGCCTGCTCCACGCTGCTTCCCTGCCTCCCTCTCAGCAGACACCTCCTCCGCTGTTCAAGGGGCTGAAGTCCTTTGCTGTCAGGCCACATAAGGTGACAGTCCTCAGCACTTCTAGAGACTCTGTGCTCCCCTGTGTCAAGTCATGCATTGCACAGAATTGTCACCTCCGTAGAATGAGCACTCTAAAATTAGGCTTGTATCTCTCACTTCCGTTCTAGGCATTGAGAAATACTCAAGAACTTCAATAAGTTAAACAATGAACACATAGCCTTAAGCACAAACATTTGTGTTCTAAAAAAAATCAATTTTTCCACAATGTGAGTATTACAWAGCTAATTTGGCAGCAAATGAAACTATTTTATAAATAAGTGATTTTCCCAATTTCTAAAAATCTCTTATATACAGGTACACATGCACTGTCAACCTTAAATTCTGTGCTACAACAGGAAACTCTTCCTTCCTCTGTTGTTGGACCAATATGGTAAATGTCTAGAAAACACATCAATACATAGAAAATATATTTTCTAAGTATACTCCAGAATGTTATTGGTCTATTTTAATTATGGATCTAAAATTTCTAGACAAGAGTCCACATTTTGTCAAATGAAGAATGCTTCTACAATAGCACCCAGCGGTATAACGCCTTTCCTTATTAGAAAACAATGAGGCCTATTCCAAAAATACTCAGAGGCATCTTGGAATAGCACCCTTTTTCTAGACCCCAARCTCTCCAGGTGCAAATTAAAGTTAGGTAAGAAATAAAATCATGGGGCTGGAGCTGTGGCTCAGTGGAAGAGTGCTTGCCTAGCATGCATGAGGCACTGGATTCGATCCCCATCACCACATAAAAATAAAATAATAATAAAATATAGATATTGTGCCACCTATAACTAAAAAAAAATTAAAAAAAGAGTGAAGGGGAGATTTTTTTTTAAAAAAAGAATTAAAATCACAATTGCAACAGTTCATCATTTCTCTGAATTTCATTCATTCTCTCTGATCTCTTCCGTTGGTGCCCTCAGTTCATTACTGAAGAACAGTCATCGACATGTAGAAGATAAATACTAACCTTAGGACTTGCTACACTGAAAGAGAGTAGAGGATATGTTTTAGCTTGGATGAAGTTACATTCACATCTGTTTTGATTTCTTTTTGAAAACAGTTAAATATATATCCATTGGAGATATAGAATTTCAGTGAACTCCAAGCAGAACTAATACAAAGAAAAGTATACTCTGTGGCATCACAGTAACCTTAGAAACTAAAGAAAAATTATCAGTAGAATGTGGAGGATCAAAACAACTTACATACAGAGGRACAATGAGAAAATAGTTCATGAACTCTTTTTGTTAAATGGTTCTTTTTAGTTATACACAACAATAGGATTCATTTTGACAAAATTGTAAARGCATGGAATATAATTTGTTTTAGTTCAGTYCCTAGCACGTCCCCTCCTCCCTCCCCCTGTTCCTTTCACTCTCCTSTACTGATCTTTCTGCCATTTACTTATGGTATTTTTGTTAAATACATGATGGTGAGATCCACTGTGGTTTATTCATGTATGTACACAGCAAAGTGAGGTCAGACTATTCCACTGTCTTTCCTATCCCATCCCTCCTGTCTCCCCTTCATTCCCTTTTGTCTACTCCATTGATCTTTTATTTTTTATCACYCCCCATCTTTATTTTAGATTAGCTTTTGTGTATCAGAGAAAACATTTGACTTTCGATATTTTGGGCTTATTTTACTTAACATAATAGTTTCCAGTCCATTCATTTACTGGCAAAAAACAAAGTCATTCTTCTTTAGGGTTGCCTCATTCTCCACTGCCTATCTGTATCTATATGTATATCTATATATCTATATATCTATATCTATATCTCTATATCTATATATCTATCTATATA